AACTCTTTAGAAGATTCATATCTTGCAATTGATTATTAATATGGAACATAAAATATTGATTTGGATGTTCAAAGAGTGTTTCAATAAAGACCCAAAATAGATTTCAAAGCTTAATTGATTGGCTTAATTTAAAGAAAATTATTAGTATTATTGAGTTCTTCTGATAAATAAATGAGATATGTATTTCCATTACCATTGATCTACTTAGCCGTCATACTTGGTATGTAGCATTCCTTTTTATTTGTATTTTTTTACTTAGGAATTAAAGCTCTTACATCTACTTTATATGTAATGATTCAAATAGAAGATAAAGACACCAAAATTAAATAATATATGTATGCAAGTGGAGTATAGATACATACATACTGGTTGAGTAATGTTTTAACTGATATAATTCCATCTTTTATTGAAAGTTTATTTACAACAATCCTTTTATTAATCTATGATGTTGGACATTTTGGGTAACATTTTTTTGCAGTTTTCTTTTTAATTACTATATTTGGAGTCTCAATGAGTTGCTTTGCTAATTGGGTGTCAATATTATATAAAAATAAACAGGGAGTTTATGTAAATTCTCCATTGCTATAATTTTTTGTATTCTTTCTCCTCTTTTTCATCATTATGCTTTTCATTATTTAACCACAGTCTCCTATAGGTGTAAATATGATTGCAATGTTATTAATGATTATATCACCATTTGCAGCTTGTTATATGGGTTTTGCTATGAGTCCTATTTTATTGAATTTAGCCATTTTTAGTTACTTTTCATGCATACTATATCTTATTATTGGAGGGACTATCTATTTTTTAATCTTATATTCAATTGACAAGAATGAATATAAATAAATTCAAGCCAATATGGATGATACAGATGCGGTTATTGATGTTTAAGAACTAACCAAAAAATAAGGAGAATTAGAGACTGTTCACAAATTGTCATTCTAAATTAAGTCTAAAGAAATATTTGGATTGCTAGGACCAAATGGTGCTGGAAAATCTACTACTTTTAATATGATTAGCAAATTTGATCAACCTACTACTGGTTAAGTAAGAATTAGAGATATTAAAACTAATCTTGGGTTAGTTCCATAATTTTGCCCATTCTATCCTACTTTAACAATTTATTAACATCTCATTATCTATGGGACTTTGAAAGGTTAAGAGAATTTATAAGAAGCAATTGAAAAATACCTGAAGGCTCTCGATATGTATGAAATTAAAAATAGACAAGTCAAATTCTTAAGTGGAGGGGAAAGAAGAAAGGTCTAATTAGGAATAGCATTGATTGGAGGATCTAATAGGTTGTTCATGGATGAACCTACAACAGGATTAGATCCAAAATCTAGAAGGATTATTCAATAGATATTACTATAATCAACCATAAACAATGATGCTTCAGTTCTTTTGACTACTCATTCATTATAAGAAGCTTAAAGTATTTGTAATAAAATTGGTATCATGGTCAATGGATATATGATTACTTAAGGAACTTTAAATGAATTAAGAGCTTAACTAGGAGAATAAGCCAGATTTAGTGTGAAATGTAATGAAGGAAGAAAAGAATAAGTGCATTAAACTATATGTTTATAACTTTCGCAACAATTCCAACTGTAACCTATTTTTGAATACCGTGATAAGTATCTTATTTTTTAATAATATATATTAGCTATTTGTCATACTAAATTCCATCAGGTTATTTCAAGTTATCTAATCTCTTTTAATACTTACAAGTAGAGTTAAAATAAAAATAATTATTGATTACAGATTTTTCGATTTACTAACCAAATTTAGAGTCAATTTTCGCTTTCTATGCTTCATAGTAAATTATCGGAGTAAATTAAAATTTATTTATAAATAATGGAGATCAATTTAATTTTTGGAATACACTTAGAACAATCACGGCATTCTTCTGTGTGTTATGGTGAGTAATAATTATATCAAATATATATTTTAACAATTCTGTTTCATAAATATGATTTTCTATTATAAATGATATTTTTGAGAAAGAATTAAATTATTTTTTAAATTAATGATTTTTGCTTTTAAGAAATTAAGTGGAAAGACATTATCTGTGTTAAGTATTCTTAAAATTTTGCATTTAGAAAACAATATTTAAGTGAAATTAGATTTTAGTAAGAATCATGTTAATAAATAAGGTAAATGCTGTGACACACTTTAAATTAATGAAAATGAATCTGTATATGGAAATTATTCAATTATTAATTATTTGAGTAAAGTGAAAAGAAATCCTTATTAAAATGAGAGATTATGGTGGGTGGCTCACTAACTCAAAGAAGTAATATAAATAAAAAAGAATGATGTAAATTAATTAATTAAATTAATTAGGTTGTTGTTGAGAAAAAGAAATAAGTTAAGACAGAAAATATAAAGACTTTAAATAAAATATTAGAATAATCAAAGTATTTAGAAGGAGAAGAATTATCAGAAGCAGATATCATAGCTTACATCAAATTAAAAAGAGTTAAACCAGAAGTGAAAACTTAGGGTAAATTATTAAAATGGTAAAATACGGTTGGTGCTTTAGTTGATCCAATATTAAATTCGATGGAAAATGTAAAAGATTTTAAATTAAATTTATTAGGAATTTAAACCTTAAATTGCCGCTATAGAGGAGGAAAAAAAAAAGAAGGAAGAAGAAATCAAAAAAAGAATTGAATAGCATTAAAATGCAAAGAAGGATACAAAAGGTGATTAAAAGAAAGGAAATTAAAAATAAGAATTACCATAATAATAATAATAATAATAATAATAATAATAATAATAATAAAAATAATAAAAAGAAAAAGGTACAAAATAAAAAGAAGAAATACCATAAGATTATTTGAAATAATTTTCTGCTTAAAAGATTGTTAGAACAAATTTAGGTTAATAGATTCTACCTCAAAAAGGAAAAAGAAATGTCTTAATTACAAGTGCCTTGCCATATGTGAATAATGTTCCTCATTTAGGAAATATTATAGGCTGTGTTTTAAGTGCAGATACATTTGCTAGGTATTCAAGATTAAGAGGATATAATACACTTTATATTTGTGGAACAGATGAATATGGAACAGCTACAGAAGTTAAAGCTATTTAAGAAAATATGACTCCTTAATAAATTTGTAGTAAATTCTTTGAGATTCATAAAAATGTTTATGATTGGTTCGATATCGATTTTGATTATTTCGGTAGAACATCAACTCCTGTTCATACTGAGATTACTTAAGATATATTCAATCATTTACATCCAAAATACACAACTTAAAAAACTACTCCATAAACATATTGTTCACAATGTAAGATGTATTTGGCTGACAGATATGTAAGTGGAACTTGTCCACATTGTTAATATGAAGATGCTAGAGGTGATTAATGTGATTCTTGTGGTAAATTACTTGATCCAGTTGAATTAATCAATTCAAAATGTTATATTTGCAAAAATAAACCAGAAATTAAAGATACTAAACATATATACATTAATTTACCTGAAATTTAAGAAAGACTTGAAACATGGATTCATTCCACATCCAAAACTGGACTTTGGTCTTAAAATTCTTATAATGTATCAAAAGCCTGGTTGAAATTAGGATTGAAAGAAAGATGCATAACAAGAGATCTTAAATGGGGTGTTTAAGTACCTTTAGAAGAATATAAAGATAAAGTATTTTATGTTTGGTTTGATGCACCAATTGGTTATCTAAGCATTACAGCTAATTTTATTAAAGATTGGAAATAATGGTGGATGAATCCAGATAATGTTGAATTATTTTAATTTATGGGTAAAGATAATGTTCCATTTCATACAGTTATTTTCCCATCTACTCTGATGGGAACTGGTTAAGATTATACTCTTTTAAAAACTATCTCTACAACAGAGTATTTAAATTATGAAGATGGCAAATTTTCAAAATCCAGAGGAACAGGAGTTTTTGGTGATAATGCTTAAAATACTTAAATTCCAAATGAAATCTTTAGATATTATTTATTAACAAATCGTCCAGAAAAAAGTGATACTGTATTTACTTGGAATGATTTTGCTAATAAAAATAATAATGAATTATTACCTAATCTTGGTAATCTTGTTAATCGTGCTCTAAATTTCATCTATAAAAATTATAATAAAGCAATTCCATAAGTTGAATTGAATTAATTGACTGTTAAAGATGAAGAATTTATTAATTTATTCTTGAATAAATTTAGAACTGAATATTTAGAAGCTTTTGAAAATGTTGAAATTAAAGAGGCACTTAGAAAAGCTATGGAATTAAGCAGTCTTGTTAATAAATACATTCAAGATGAAAAAGCATGGGAAAAAGAACAAAAAGAATCAAAAAGATCAGATGTTATATTATTTGTTGCTGCTAATGCTATCAGATTTGTTAGTGCTTTAATTGAACCATTCATGCCTGCTGTTTCTGCTAAGATTAATTTCACTTTGGGCTTCAATTAAAGAACAGAAAAAGATGACAAACTATTTGAACATGTATTATCCTATGATAATAATATATCTGCCCTTTTAAATCTTGTCAAACCAGGATAACCAATCAATTAACCAGTACCTATTTTTAGAGAATGTATTCTATTAATATTAATTATATTTAGTCAAACCAGAAGAAATCGAAAATTGGAGACAATAATATAAAGGATAATAATGATCATACATTATTATAAATATAAAAAACGTTAATATCATATTAAATAAAAGTTATAATTTATCTATATAATCTTTCTATTTAAGTTATATTTATATAATATACTAAATTATTATTAAAAATAAGATAAAATATTTTATAGTTTAAATTATATATTAGATATCAAATACTTATTAATAAAGAAAGAATTAATAAAAATATGAATAATCAATATAATTGTAATCATAATTAAAGTATTGTAATAAATTAAGAATAAACAATAAAAACAATATAATTTATATTTATTGTTTTCATCTTAGACTTCAGATATAATAAAATAAATTATTATTTACTAGATATAAATAAAAATCATATTTTGATATGCTTTTATTTAGCAATATCAAAAATTGCTTAAGCATTTTAATCACCAGTATTTTTAACCAGTCTAGAGAATTCTGTATTTTTATCTACATAGGTTGAATTAATTGAATTAGCTAATAAATTAAAAGGAGTATCAAATTCAATGACTTATCCTTCACTTACTACCATAACTTTATCATAATCAGCAATTGTGTTTAATCTATGTGCAATTGTTATTAAAGTACAATCTGTAAATTTTTTTTTTAAGGTTTCCTAAATAAAATCATCTGTTTTCATATCAACATTTGCAGTTGCCTCATCTAAAACAATAATTTTCTTTTAGAAAAGAATTATTCTAGCTAAACAAATTAATTATTTTTAACCAACTGAAAATACTGAATTTACATCACTCATATCTGTTAAAAGACCATTTTAAAATGCTTTTACATGATTTATAAGATCTGTCTATTCTAAAGCCTTCCATAATTATTCATCAGTAAAATTATCAAAAGGATCTAAATTTCGTCTTATAGTTCCTGTAAATAAAAAAGGTGATTAAGGAATGATTCCAATATTACTTCTTAATTTATGTAATCCTAATTTTCTAACATCTAAATCTGAAATTAATAATTTTGATTCTTTATCATTTTCAATCTCTGACATTCTAAAGATTGCTTATAGAATTGAAGACTTTCCTGCTCCTGTTCTTCCAACACAACCTATCTTTTAACCACTTTAAATATCAAATGACAATCCTTTTAATACTAAATCACAATTTTATCTATATCTCATAAAAACATTTTAAAATTTAACTCTACCATCTTTTGGAAAGTCTGGATATTTTGAATCTTCTTCTTTTACATGAGGAGACTCTGGTAATATATCAATAATTTAAAACATTCTATTATATGAATTCATTTAAGTCTCAAAAGTAATTAATTGCCTTAATCCCCATTATAAAGCATCATTATATGTAGTCAAAAGTAATAATCCTTAAGACAAAATTGCAACATCATCATAATTTAATTTTACAAAAATGAATATTCCTACTGTCTAAGCTATAAATCCTACTAGATCCAAATTAAAACCAAAAGATCTTGAAGAATAATAATATGTTAGGGCATTAAGATTGCATTTATTTGAAATCTCTAAAAATTATTCTCTAAACCATGCCTGTTATTCATAAACTCTAACTTAGATGACACCTCCTAAAGTTTTCTTTAAAAAATCAAATAAAGGGCTTCTTTACATTAACTCAACCTCTTTAAGTTAACTAATAATCTTCTTTGCATAGCTAAACTAATAAATATCGACAGTGATAATAAAAACAATCATAATTAAAAAGTATGGTTGTAAGATAGCCAAAGTTATAAGAGCAAATATAAAACCACCAATAATTTCCAAAACATCTAAACTAACAGAGTTTGTTTAATTATCACACAAAGATAAATCATTTGAAAATCTATTGATAATTCTTCCAGAAGGATTTACATCAAAATATGAAACTGGGGCTAAAGTTAAAGATTTAAGCATTTACTAATGTATTTTCTAAGTGGATGTTTAAACTGAATATGTATTTAAAGCATATTTCATAAAATTAGAAAGGAAAAGCCCTAAAGTTAACATTCCTAAAAGAAAGTAAGCAGTATCTATATCATTTTCTTATTAATATTCTTCAAAAAGGGAAATGATTCTCTAATAGAAATTATTAAGAACTTCTGAACCAGCTTCTAAACTTAAAACGCATAAAATGATTATTAAATTCCAAAATTTATAGTATCTAAAATATGTTTTTAAAGTAATCAATGATTGCTAATCAGCTTCTTTACCTATAAGGTTATTAGCAACAGAATTTCTCATTTTTATTCTTTTCTAAAATTATGGTCTAATGAATTCTTATTTTTTTGATTCTTTAGTGTTGTTTAATTATTGGGCTAATTCTTCATTTATCATATATAAATTTGATTTAATATCCTCATAAGAACCTTAAGCAATTAATTCTCCATCATTTAATATTGCAATTTTATCACATTCAACAGCATATTATACCTAATGTGTAACCAAAATAACAATTGGTTTTTTCTTTGATGGATTTCTTTATATTTAATAATCAAAAATGAATTCTTTGATAGCCATATGAAATATATTTTTGGCTACACTTGCATCAACAGCAGACAAAGGATCATCAAATAAATATAGGTCAGCCTATTAATATAAAGCTCTAGCTAAAGATAAACGAGCCTTTTAACCACCTGATAGAGTTGTACCTCTTTCTCCAATTTCTGTATGATCTTAAAATTTCATCAAAGATAAATCTGCTTCTAATTAAGAAGCATGCAACACTTTTTGATACAAAACTTTATCATATGTTCTACCAAACAAGATATTTCTTTTAATAGTATCTGGAAAAATAAATGGTTCTTATTCAACATATGCAATAGTTAAGACACCTTTATTGGCTTCTTAACCATCAATTTTGAATGATCCTTTATACGCAGGAATTTCATGTAGAAAGGCACTAAGAAGAGTTGATTTTCCACAACCAACTCTTCCAATAAAAGCCCAAGCCTCTCCAGCTTATATATCCAATGTTAAATTTTTAAGAACTGGTTTTGTAGTCTCAGTAACTTTGCTTATCCAAAATGAAGTAAAATTTTTAAGTTAAATTCTTGGACCATTATATTCTTTGGATTAAGTATTATTATCTGATTTCAATAAAATCTTATCTAAACTTGTCATTTCTGAATTTTCTATATTTAAAATAGTTGCTATTCTTGTAAATGATACTTTAATATGGATTACTGATTAAATTCCATATGAAACCATAAAAACACAACTTATTTTAAAAAATGTAAGTAATTGAATTGTTGAAATCATTTCAGCCACAGTCATAGTTTGTCTGAAGCCTCCATAATATAAAATAACAAAGAAAATAAAACTTGACCAAACTTAAGAAATTAAACTAAATAATCTATCAATAGCTGATCTAAAACTGATTTTTAATAAACATATATACTCCTTTTATCTCATAATTGATATCATTTTATTAAAAGCTAATTCCCAAGCATACATTTTAATAAGTCTGACACCTTCAATAAGTTCATTAGTTAATTTTAATCTTTGATCTTAATATTACTTAGAAGTTTTAAGAGTCTCAGAATTAAAAGATTAGAGTAATATTTATATAGGATAGGCTACAAATATAATAGCAAGTGCAATCATTCCAATAGGTCCACTAAATCTATCCCATAAAATGTAGCATCCAAAAATCATAGATATAAAACATACACTGCTTTAGAATATCATAATAAGTACGAATTCAAGATAATTTATATCACCAGAAACTAAATTTAATATTTTACCTATATTTGCCTCTTTTATGGAGTAGGCACTTAATTCTGTTAATTTTATGTAGACTAAATTTATAAGTGTCATTCTTGCTTTTGATGAAAAAATCATAGCTAAGTTATAACCATGATGTCTTGTAAAAACACATAATAAATTTAGAAACACCAACAATGTAGCGAATCCATATGCATTATCTTTTTCATTATTTGCAGCACTCGTAATTACTTTACTCATTACTATTGATACGCCATTTCTTACAAGAGCTTCTAAACTATATGAGAAAAAACATCCTAAACTTATCCACTTTAATTAACCAAAAAATATAATTTTCACTAAATCACCACAAGAAATTTTTTTTTTTTATTTCACTGTTTTTTATGAAACTTCCACAGATTCTTTTAAGTCTTCCCAAGGTGATAATTTTGGTAGGTGTTTTTCGAGAATTTTATGTCCTTTGTCTAATACATTTCTCTTTAAAAATAATGAATATTCTGTCAGATGTAAGAAAAAAAACTTTGATATTATCCAACTTTTCTCACCGTGATAATAAGGATAAAATTTATCTTCTTCTTCCTCAGGAATTGTCAACATTGAAGGTTCATCTTATCCATCCTACATATTTAATGGTTATTATTCTTGCTAAGCCTCTTCCTACTAATCATTTAAAACAGTAAGTATTTAATTATTGGTTCCATTATCTTTTTATTATGAAGTCATTTCTAATTCTTCTTGTTTTTTTTCTGGACTGCTTTCACTCATGAGAATTTTCAGAAATCCTAAAAATTATTAAAAAATTTAAAAATAAAATTTAAAATGGTTACATAAATACAAAACAATTAATTTTTCTTTTGGAATATTTCCTAAAAAATATATTAACTTCCATCAACTATTTTTAATATGACTATACATATATATTATATTTCCTTTTATAATAATCACAAATATATTTAAATATGAGGGTATTATAATTATTTTAAAATAATCAGTTAAATAAGATATTTGATTAGTCAATTTGTTAATATAAAGGTTCCAAAACTATGTGGATTGATGAAAAAATTTACAATTCCAATAAATAAGAGTTCTAAACTGTTTATATTTATAAATTCATAAAAAATAATCTTCAATATGACTACTATATTTTAAAATTGCTGTTTTTTAATTTGAAATCTATTCTTCTTCAAAAGGTTACTTATTTTCATATATAAGTATAAAGAAAAATTAATTATATTCTTTTGAAATATTTACAAACATCAAGCGAAGAGTTTGATTGAATAAATAAGGAANAATCATAGCTAAGTTATAACCATGATGTCTTGTAAAAACACATAATAAATTTAGAAACACCAACAATGTAGCGAATCCATATGCATTATCTTTTTCATTATTTGCAGCACTCGTAATTACTTTACTCATTACTATTGATACGCCATTTCTTACAAGAGCTTCTAAACTATATGAGAAAAAACATCCTAAACTTATCCACTTTAATTAACCAAAAAATATAATTTTCACTAAATCACCACAAGAAATTTTTTTTTTTTATTTCACTGTTTTTTATGAAACTTCCACAGATTCTTTTAAGTCTTCCCAAGGTGATAATTTTGGTAGGTGTTTTTCGAGAATTTTATGTCCTTTGTCTAATACATTTCTCTTTAAAAATAATGAATATTCTGTCAGATGTAAGAAAAAAAACTTTGATATTATCCAACTTTTCTCACCGTGATAATAAGGATAAAATTTATCTTCTTCTTCCTCAGGAATTGTCAACATTGAAGGTTCATCTTATCCATCCTACATATTTAATGGTTATTATTCTTGCTAAGCCTCTTCCTACTAATCATTTAAAACAGTAAGTATTTAATTATTGGTTCCATTATCTTTTTATTATGAAGTCATTTCTAATTCTTCTTGTTTTTTTTCTGGACTGCTTTCACTCATGAGAATTTTCAGAAATCCTAAAAATTATTAAAAAATTTAAAAATAAAATTTAAAATGGTTACATAAATACAAAACAATTAATTTTTCTTTTGGAATATTTCCTAAAAAATATATTAACTTCCATCAACTATTTTTAATATGACTATACATATATATTATATTTCCTTTTATAATAATCACAAATATATTTAAATATGAGGGTATTATAATTATTTTAAAATAATCAGTTAAATAAGATATTTGATTAGTCAATTTGTTAATATAAAGGTTCCAAAACTATGTGGATTGATGAAAAAATTTACAATTCCAATAAATAAGAGTTCTAAACTGTTTATATTTATAAATTCATAAAAAATAATCTTCAATATGACTACTATATTTTAAAATTGCTGTTTTTTAATTTGAAATCTATTCTTCTTCAAAAGGTTACTTATTTTCATATATAAGTATAAAGAAAAATTAATTATATTCTTTTGAAATATTTACAAACATCAAGCGAAGAGTTTGATTGAATAAATAAGGAAGTAGCAGGTATACTTTTACAGCAGAAATATAGATCAGAATACTGAATATATGAAAATAATAAACTACTATTTATTTTGCGTTTTAAATACGCTCAAATAAAAGTCGCTAAAATGTTTACTTGAATTTATATAGAGATATATCCAATAATTACGGATATTAATATTTAATTGAATATAGAGGTATTTAAAATAAAAATATTTTTTAGAATTAGATGTTTTAGTCAATGAACAACTGAAACCTTATTCTAAAGAAAAAATTCTTATCCTATTTTCAAAGATGTTCTTTATTATAAGAAAGAATAATATAAATAGTATTAGAAAATGTCTTTTGATTATTTATAAATAATTTAAAACAGAAATAATATATTACATTAATCTTTAATAAAACAATTAATTTCTAGATATAAATTTCTTTTATAAAAAATTACCAGAAATAAATTTCTTGATTTAATTACTCTATACCACTATATTAAATTACACCTAACTTATAAGCATAGCTTCAATATAAAAAACATTAAAATACCGTGAGACAAGTTATTTAATTGTTGTTTAGATAAAAAAGAAAATGGTTTATAATTAAAAAGGTTTTTATTTTATAATTTTATATAAAATTGATGAAATAAATGAATATGTAGAAGAATAAAAAGTAGATGATATTTGATTGATTTAAATTAATATCATTTAATTTATCAATCAGAACCAATATAATCTTAAGCAAGAACTTCTTTGACTTCTGCAACATAATGACATAACATTCTTTCTATTCCATTTTTGAGAGTAACAGAAGATGAAGGACATCCTGCACATGAACCTTTCATATATAAATGAACAATTCCATTTTATTCATCAAAATCTCGAAAGACAATGTCTCCTCCATCCTCTTAGACTGTAGGTCTTATTCTAGTGTCAATAATTTCTTTAATTAATTGAATAGCCTATTTAAATAAATTATGTACTTCTGAATCATTATCGTTAATTTTAGTGTCTTAATTTTCTGAAAATCCATCAATGATCAATTATTTTTCTTATCCATCTTAATCTAATTAATAATGTTCCATTATTTGTTCAAATATCTATGGTTTTAGTTCTTCCCATTTACTTTCTTCCTTTTTAGAAATAGAAATATAATCTTTTCCATAAAATACTCTAGTCACACCATCAATCATAAATAGTTTTTAAGCCAAAGGTGAACATTTTGCTTCTCTTGGCCTTGAAAAATCATAGGTTCCATTAAGCATTACTTATTTACCATCTGGAATAAATTTCAAAAAATTTGGGTTTGGTGTAGGTTTTGCTTGAATAAATAGTTTGTAAATATTCTTGAAATTTAACATATAATATAAATTATGTAGAAGATGTAATTTATAAAATCTCACATGATTGAACAAGTACATGATGTTTTTATATCTCTTCTAAAATCCATATTCATCAAGACCATAGGATCTTTTTTGTTTGTATCATCAAAATACCAAACTTTTTTTTCAAAATATCTAATTATAAAATAAAAAGAGAAACCTTAAATTACTTGCTGAATGAATAAGAGAAGGATTTGAAATTTATTTATTGTAACCAATTAAAGTAATTTCATTTAATTTAAATGATATAGCTTATATTTGAAATGTCTAACAAGTATTTCCTCCAACTACTATTAATCCTTTTTATTAAAAAACTTCATCTACCATTTTAGTAACAGAAGCATTATAAAAATGATTATAAACCTTTTGAGTAGCTACAATGTTTTAATATTTTATGGTTAGAGTATCAACAATTGAAAATTTACCAAAATTCAATCCTAAATTAGCTTAATCAGTTTAAAAAAACTAATTATAAATTTACAATTACTAATTTTGCTCTAGCAATATGTTCTAATACCAATTTTAGACTCACATATTCACAAGTTTAATTAGCTTCTATTAATTCTTAACTTATTTCTTTTTCATATTCCAAAAGAGGATTGCCTCCCATAAAAAATATATATTTAGAATCAACTGATCTATGTTAAGGATCAAATTTTTCTTTATCTCTATTGTCTTTGTCTTGCCAAATAATTCCTTTATCTTTTATTAAATCAAATACGATTGGATTCATTCTTGATTTAGTCATTGTTATAGTAAGAACAGGAGTTAAAGTCACTTCTCTACGTTTTATCTCAAAAACCTTTATTGTTTTTAAAGGCTTCTTTTCTCCCCTTTAAAGATGATGTCCACCTATAACAAGTAAAACACTTTTCCATTAATATTCATGTTCACATTCAATTAAATATAGAAGTGGATCTTATCTTGGCTTGTCTTCATTTAAATTCAATGATACAAGTGGCTTATCCTTATTATCATTTATTAACATATCAGAACTATATATATGAACCTTTCCTAATTTATTATCATAGATGTAAAAGCGTCCAGTTGTTTTTTCTTAAACTATTGATAATGATGGTCTTTATCCTCCAAAATCTTATAGATTTAAATGCTTTTCCCACTTTGTATTATTTACTAAATGTTTGCTTGTCAATAATAAACTTTTTGGAGTGATGAAACATAATTTTGAAATTTAATTTTTGTAGAGTCTTACATATTGTTTTTTGACAACAACAGCTTCTTTTGCAATTGATGTTTCGCTGCCTTTTTATTCTCTTTCTTTTCTTTTGATTCTTGCTATTTCTATTGATTAATTATGTACTTTTATCTAAATTTTTTACCTCATCATAAGGGATTCCATCATTCTTAAAAATAGTCTTATAATTGTAGATTGAATTAAGTGAAGTTATTTCAGGGATTTTACTTAATAATTACACTTCTTGAAAGAAATCAGTTTTCTCTTCAGCTGATTCCTCAACAATCTTTTCATTTATTTATTCTGTTTTAACTGCAACAGGAGCATATAATGCTCTAATATTTAGACATATTTCTATACTGATTTCCTTTTAATATGTTATCAATTGTTAAACTTGAATCATCTGCAGGTTTTTAAAGTATCTTGCTTTCTTTGTTTTACTATTAAGTTCCATAGATGTTTCTTCATATTTAAATGAAAATACCTATTCAGAGTAATAATATCATTTATATCAATACTGTCACTCATTTTAATTAATAATTCATATGTTAAATATATCAAGTTTAGATATTCTCTGCAATCCATAAGCAAAGTTAGTTATCTAACGACAGCACTTTTTTATGTTTCTTTTTATAAACTCATCCAATAAGTGTCTATTTTCTAAATTTCGTCATCACTTAAGACTTGACAGGCTTATTTTATCAATTATTTTTCTTATATATCATTTACCTTAAAATATAGAATATGTGATTTTGATATCTGTAAAGATTTTATTTTGAATTAACTTCTATATTTTTATTAAAATTTTTCTAAAAATATTATGTTAACAGTCCTATTTTAAACAATTTACAGTTTTTTAAACCAAAATGATTATCATTATCTTCTCATATATTTATTAATTTTTATAGATTTGTTATTTATATGTAGAAAAAAAAAATATTAATTAAAATTTCTATTCTATTTTTATCTCTCTCAGTTTTATAACAATAAATATTTATTGGAAAGATAAATTGTAAAAAATATTAATAAAAATTAATTAATAAAATGAAATACTCTTCTTAATTTAAAAAAGATAATAATATTAATCTACTATCAACAAAAATCTAGAATTTGATGTAAATATAAAATGATATTTTAGAATGATAAAATATATTTTCAAATTTCCTGATTTCATTATTTTTATTCTTAGTTATTTTATTACTATCTAATCATTTCATTTCTAATTGCATATTTATGTAAAGGATTTTAATTTAAACTAAAAGGTTTTGAATTAGAATTTGAATTATTTCCCTAACCATTAGTATTATTTCCATCAAAATCTCTGAATCTTGAAGGTTTTTATTATTATTGTTAATCTACTCTATTTAATTATTTTCCTTAAGCAGAAGGACTATTAAATCCATTATTTAATGGTGAATCTAATATCATTTAAATAATAATACCAATTTAATCAGTGTGACCATTTAATAAAGGACTATTTTAATACAAACTATCATTTGAACAATCCTTTCTTAATTTTGATGAAGCAGTTATTAATGGTGAATGAAGTGGTGAATTGCTTAACTATTTTAATCTCTATTTATCAAATTTTAAATGCTCTTCCTATAACTTGAAGTTTGTCTCTTCATTTTCTTCTACCTATTTCAACCTTCTACCAAAGTAAGGATGACCAAGAGCCTATTAAGCATTGATTCGTTTATGTGGGTCTTTTTCTAACATCTTTCTTAATAAATCATATGCTTATTAAGGAATATTTTCAAATACGGCTCCATCAAATGATATTTCACATTTTCGATTTTTAGCTAATACATCATTATAACTTTTTCCTGGAAATGCAGGTTTGCCAGTTAATCTTATTAATATTACTATAAAAATTTACAGTATATAAAATATGAGTCCTAAGCTATATATATCACAAATTGGATCATATCTTCCTCCATCTTTACAATTTACTACTTCAGGAGCTACAAAACCTGGTGTTCCACATCTATTAAATAAATATGGGAATTCATTAGCATTTTAAGCCAATCCAAAATCAGCTATACAAACAGACTAGATATTGCTAATATTTCAATAGAATTTATAGATTACTTAGGTTTTCTAAATAATATATTTTCTGGTTTCAAATCTCTATGCATTATGTGTTTTGAATGCATATGTTGTAAACCTTCCAATAAAGTAAATAGAAGCACTTCAATTTCAAATGAATTAAACTATGGCCTATTTTTTACTTTATCATATAGAGATCCTCCTTCCAACAAATCAAGTACCATATACAATGAATTTTCAGTTTCATATACTTCATGTAATTTTATTAAAGCATGACTATCAAACTATCTCATAACAGAAATTTCATTCAATATAGACATCTATAATAATAAGACATTTTTACTTTTCCTTTATCCTAACCATATGCTACCTCTTTTGAAAATGCTTTTATAGCAAAACCTCTTTCATCCTCTAAACGATCAGCCAAATAAACAGATGCAAAATTGCCTTTCCCAATTTTTCTATGTGCTTTAAAACTTTCATGAAATCCTCTTTGATTTATGTGTTTAGCTAAATAATCTCTCCATCTTTTCAATAGTTATGGATCATCTGAAAACAATTTTATTTTGTGTTCAGTATTCTCTCTTTCAATCAATAATCCTAGAGGTTTTCCAACTTTAAACTTCTCTTCAACTGATTCTCTTAATAACTAAAATTTTGTTTCGAATGTTAAAGAAATGAATTTCTTCTTGTTGGCAACAATTATTGAATTAGAAAATCCATGTAAAACTCTTCTTTTCCCTTTATGAGTTATAAATTCCCCAACTATTTCTGGTTATTGATCCTTCCCTTTAAAAGGCTCTGTTAATTTATAATTCATTTAAAAATATCATTATTTAGATAATTTATCATCTTATTGATAATCTCATTAATCCTTTAGTATTTTATCATATGTTTATTCTAGACTTTTGTAGATTTTAATTTAATTCTTATTATTTATTGTCTTTATCTATCCTGCATAAATCAAAATCTATGTGCCTATAAATCCTTATTAAAGCTATAATTATATTATGTAATTGCTAATACTTATATGAAATCTAATAATTGATCAATTACCAATTTTAAAGTAAATTCTATATATTTTTTCTAAGTATAAAATTCTCTATTATTCAATTAATGAATATATTTTAGAATAGTTTTGTTTTTATTATAATGGGAGTTTAAGCAATCTATCCAAGAGGAATTTCGAGTAAATTTATGAGTTAATTTTGTAAGGATTGTCAATATATGTATTATTCTGTAGACAAAGGTCAAATTAAAATTTTTGTTTAAAGACTAATTTTCATATAAATAGATTATCTGAAGAGGTTTAAAATTATTAGTTATAAATCATTATTCTTAATTTATGATCTTTAAGGACAATATAGTAAAAAAGAGAAGATAATATTAATCAATATGAGGATTAAGTTTTAACTTAAAATTATTAATTGCCAAATAGCTATAATATTATGAAAAAAATTATGAAGTTTCTATTTAAGATTATTTTACATCAAATTTCAATAGCATCAATAATTTTATATTAGTATTTAAAATATTATAATATATAAATATTTTTAATTGCGGAATATAGATATTGATAATTATCATTCATTTTAAATATTTTTCAAGTCACTCATTGTCTTTTATTCATTCAAAGAATCTGCAGGAATTAATGTTAGTGCTAATTTTGTTAAATACATTCCATTGTCTAATTTTTATATCCATTTGTAAAAACAGAGGATATAAACAATAATTAATGCTAATCCCATAGTGTACATATAAATTTGAAACTTTAAAATAACAGAGTCTAAAGTGCTTTTATTTAAATTCAACATTGTATTTGCAATTTGCTCCATTATCTTTCCTTAAAATAGAAAATGATGTATAAATTCAGTTGTATGAACTTAACCTGATAAAAAATGTTCTAATTAATCTTTATCAGTAATAGCATAATCATTTGTTTACCAAAATGTTTTTAAAGTCTTAGAAAATTCATGTACCATATCAACTATTCCTCCAGATATATAATCTAAACTATTATCAGGTGATGCTGGTTCAAATGATTTTGTACATGATGGAACTAAAGTTGGATCACTTTCACAAAGGGAACTTCGAAATGGAATTAATAATGTATTTTTTTATTCTTCTAAAAGGGATGTACTTGATGCTAATTAATCATAAATAACAGATAATTAATCTTAAAATCCATTTTGTAAAGAGAAAAATTCTGATAATACTCCATCTAAATTAAATTTAATTTAAGACAATTCAAAAATTTGATTTAATTTTTTATTGACTAAATAGTCTGTTTTTAAGATTTCTCCATATACAACTAGAGAATCAAATTTTAATTTGAATTCAATTAATTATAAATTTAATGTTATTGCTGGTTTAATTGATTAGACCATTGATATAGATAAACCTAATGCACCTAATAAATATCCTGCTAAAAATAACCATGATCCAAATAAAAATGCATAATTCCATATTTAAGGTAATCTTAAATTATAAATTCTTGATGTTAATGAACTATTTTAATATCTCTTTTTAAATTTCTACTTATTATTTTTAGCAGTAGTAGATCCACTAGAAGATTAAAGAAAATTTAAATCTTATTTAACTTTGACAAAGTTTGATTCAAATACATATTTAACAAAATTTGTTTATTTCCATAAGACTTATTTTGGATCTTTTAAAATAGTTTTAATTTCATTATAAATTTTATTAATTTGATTTACATCATCTTCACTTAATTTTGTGATTAAAACTAAGATCTTTCTGATTAATTAGTTTACATCTTATAATACTTTAATAATTAAAAACATAAAGGCTGTTATAACACTAAGTTCTGCAACAACAACATAAATAAGTGCATTAACAATTTATTATTCATAAAATATTAAATTATCATTCAAATAATTAATATAACTTTTACTTACTGTAATTACTTAAACCATATTTAATTTAAAAAATAAATTTAATGATACGAATTTTTCATCTAATTCTTTTTAGATTTATTAATTTAAAGTGATTGAATTTGATGATATCTATTCTAATAATATTGTTAAATCAAATGTAATTTCGAATTATTATAAATTATTAATAATTTTGAGATTATCATTTAATGGTATTACTTAACTTTCAAAAGTAATGATATCTTCATAAATACTTTTTAAATCACGTTCAATATTCAAGGCTAAAGTGTTAAATTCAGTTTTTAAGCCATCATTAACTAATGAACTATAGTTTACAAACTCTAATTTTTAATGAAGAATGTTTGATGAAAACATTAATGTTTTTAAAAAGTAATTATTGATTTTTTCAGGATATTAAACATAATTTAAATTAGTTTATAGAATACCAAATTAATCTGAAAATAACTTAAATAATTACCTTAAACTATATATATCTTAATGAAAACCAAAATCAGAGCAGTTAAACAAACAACAATATTCAATATTATAATTAACCAAATTTATGTATTAATTTCACCAAATTGATATAAAGATCTAATTAATAGATATGGTGACTTTGATGATGATGTTTTTGTTGAACTAGGTTTAGAAGATTATTTATTTTCATGTTCTTAAACTTCCTAATTATTCAAATTCTTTCTTAAAATTTCAAGAATATCATTTTTCTTTTTTTTTTATTAATCTTTTGAACTATCAGACTTTTTTTCTATTAATTCAGAATCATATTTTGGATCTTCAAATTATTCCTATTCTGGTTATTAAGCATTTATTTTACTTTCTTCAATATCTTATACTAATTATTAAAAGTCTTAATCTTCAATCCTAGATATTTAAGGATTTTCAAAGACAACTTTTGATTCATCTTATTATTTTAACAATTTAGAATTAGAAGTATTATTTATTTCCATTATCTATTCTAAAAGATGTTAATCTGATGGACCTTTTATATCAGCAGTTTCATTTAATTGATCAGAATTTTGTTAATATCGACTTATAAAATTTTTTGTATTAGTCGAATCTATTCCAGTTTGTGATTCCCCATATTTAATAGCCATCAATGTTCTTCGAATAGACTTTTTATAAGGAATTATTGAACTTGAATCTGATCTTTCAAATTCACTTAAAGGTTCTAATTTTAATACAAAATATGGATATCTCTCCTTTTTTGTTTCCATTATCTGAAATTCTAAATTATACTTAATTTTAAGTATATCACATTAAATGCTTTGTTCATCATGATATTTTGATAAAAAATCCAAAACTAAATTCATCCTTTCTACTTATAACATAGGAATATTTAACCCTTTGATTTTAACTTAATCTTCTTGATTATTAAAACTCCTTGCAGATATTGCAGAGGCATGTGATGCTAATTAAGATTTAATAGTAGTTAAATTATAAGATGATAATTTTTAATCATATTTTTATCTATCATTAAATACCTATCCAAATTATAAAAAAATATCTTATAATTATTCTGGGAAATATGCATAATCTACAAATTCTGTCTCAATATCATTTGCTAATTTCTTTAGATTGATTAAAATGAATGGCATTAACATAAAGATATGTCCTTGTTCCACAAATCTTTCCATTGTTATATTTGGATTATTAGGCAAAATCCTTTTTTCAAAGAAATCTTAACTAGAACCAATAATTTTGCCATAACTATCAAACATAATTACATCATATGAGGTTTATAATCTAAGAATTGAACCAGTTAAAACAAAATCAGAAGAATCTTAAAATAAATTACCCAATTTAATATAACATTCTTTTAAATATCCTTATTTTTATAAAAAAAAAGAATGAATGCTTTAGACTGAATATTTAGTGTATCCCTTTGATATAAAGTCATTTAATTAGGCATCATGCAATGTTCTTAAATCAGGTGGTAAAAAAGATGAGATAAGAGTTTACTAAAATAATAGGATAATTTATATACAGCTGCTATATCTTAAACATTTTAAAATTAAAAGAAATTTGCTAATGTTAATAAATTCTTATTAACAATATGACCCTTCTTTCTTACAAGACTCACCAAGATAATTACAGCCTCATCCTTTAATAGAGCACAATCATCAATAACTTCAATTGATTTCTATCTATCTTCTTTTATAAGTTCTTCAATTTATTTTTCTGCTTAAAATGCCTAAATTGAAATATTAATAATACTCTATCAAAATCATTTAAAATAACAGAATATAGAATAGAATATAATTTTAAATTTAGTATATTGATATTTCTATCTTCTGGATCTAATGTTTTAAGTACAGTTTATAAACTTATATCTTTTGATCTGTCAAAAAACACTTCTGGAATTATTATTGTGGCTTATTTATAAATCATATTCACTTACATTTAATTCTCTTATACAATTCATCTATAGATTTGCATAATTAAAGCTATTCTTTATGAAATGGTTCTAAATCATCATAACCTTCTATTAAATTATCCCAAAATTTTTATTTTTTTTCTATGACTTCTATTATTTTAGGAGTGATTTCTTAATAAAAGTTAACACTCCTCCATAGTTATGCAATTGTTAATTTTTCCTCTCTTGCCATATATCTTTCTTTTCTAAATTACTATTATATCATTCTCTCCTAAAGATACAAAATTGCAAACTCTAATTCTGCTGAAATTTTGGATGTCAATTCTCTAAAATATAAGGAATTATCACTATTTTAATCTTATTAATATTTTCTTAATTCAACATAAGCAATTAATGGTCTTTAGGCTGTAGATGATAAAAAACTAATATATTATAATTGTAATTGTTCAAATTTAGGCTTATGTATTTCTCCATTTTTTACTACTGTTCTACTATGACAAGTCTTAAATATACAACTTACTACATCTATAGTTAATTTCTATAATTATATTTTATCATTAAAATTAAGTTTTGATAATTTAGATTTTTAAGATGGACATTTGAGTCTTAAACAATTCTCATTATGTTTAATCAATTATTAAAAGTAAGTTAATTTATTATATTCACTTGTTTAAAAATGAATAAAATGACTATAAAATTAATCTACTCCAATAATTATATATTTCTCTTATAAATTGAAACGAGAATTGTAATTAGTCATTGCAAATTCATGAAATAATGAACTTATTGAAGTTGAAACTCCACTCATTAATCCAGCTACAAACAAAGTCCAAAATAATTAACCATCTATTATTGTTTCTAATGAAAACAATAAACATATGAATATGCTACTAAAAAGTACCATAGCTACTTTTAAGGATGGTTCTCTAAATGGATCTCGATAAGGACAACTATAAAATTGATCGACTATTTGTAAAAATGCATATGCAAATCCAAATATATACTTAACAAATACAATTTCTTAATAAAATCTAAAAAGTATTAATAAGTAACCAATGGTATAATTAAATAATTGTACATATGCAAATCTTCTTTTAAAGGAGTTATTTTCTGCAAATCTGTGATTTCTTAATAGATATATAAGTATTATTCCTTAACAATATTACAATATTGCATTAAAATATCCGAAAATATAAAACTCAGTTAACATAAATTTGACACTAATTACAATAATTGGTATTGTGAAGATGCTGTAAAAAGTAAAGTACCAGTGCAAAATTGAATTAACTGATTCTATCTTTTTCTCTAAAATTAATCTTAATTTAAAGTTTAAAGCTACTCTTTAAGTTTCAAATGTTGCAAAAAGTAGATAAAATAGTAAAATGATTTAAAAAGCAAAAATCACAAATAGAAATATTTTACTTAATTCATCTGTCAACATAGGTTCAATTAAAGAGAAATGTGTCAATACAACAGCATAATCAAATGCCTAATCTGATGATCTCTCTAAAAATAAACCTAATATTTGAACATGATGCAAAAGATGGGGGATAATAAAAAACTCTTGAGGAAACTTTGGAATAATGATTATCATACTTAAAAACGAGGTTTATACTCAATTGCAAATAGTATAGTTTTAATGTACCCACTACAAAATTCTTTTATCTTGTTCATCACTATCAAGATTTAAAAAAAAAATTATTAAAATATATAATATATATAGAAATTTGTCTTTACAAACTAATAAATTACAATCATTAATAGGTTAAACAAATACATCAATTTAATGAAGAAGATTATTTTATATTAAGTGTAAACCTAGAAGAATTGTAGTTTGTATTTAATCTAACAATTTTGTTCTTGTTTTGAGGAGAAGCTGAATAATTGTCATATGTACCAACATCATATTTTCTTCTACTTGTTTTACTTGTCTATTTTTATGATCTAAAATTAATTTATATTATTATTACTCCTTATATTAGATAAGTGATCTTGCTTCTGCAAAGAGATAGGCTTTAATCATCAAAAATCTTTATCTAATAATTTATTTTCTTTCTGAAGTATTTTTAAGCAAAATAGCACAGAATTTATTTTTCTTAATAAAAGAAGGTAATCTGTAACTTAAATAAATTTTGATTGAATCAATTTAGACTTACAATTTTTCAAAATAAGCAAAAAAGATTTTATAAATGATTTTTAATGTGAATGCAAAGTTTATTACAGCTAGGATTGTATAAGATGGAAAGATTACTTCACTAATACTTAAATTTTATGCTGTAAATATCAGTGATGCTAATAAAATTGAAATTTTGCATATTGAAGTTTATAAAGAATCAATATTATTTAAATCTCCTATTTAATAGGGTTTATATTAGTTTGTAAGCTTACCATAAATATGTAAAATAAAAAAGATTAATAATGCTTTTATTGGAATATAATCTTCATAATAAATTAAAACTAAAATAATAAATTCCTTAGACATTATTTTAATAGTCTCCCAATAATAACTACTTAATTTATATTCATTGTATAGATATCCCCAAACCTTTCTTATTTTAGGTTCATCTAATCGTTTCCTATAATAATAGACTATAAACCAAAAAAATAAAGGTAATATTACGCCTATTACCAAAAAAGCTGGAGTAACAAAAATGATTAACCATTTATAATGCAAAGATGTCTCATATTAGTAAGCTACATTTGCTGAAATCCACTTAATATTAGATATGCTTCTATATGATAATAAAGATATCAAACCTCCAAAGAGATTTGGAGATAAATAGATGTAAATATATATTAAAGTAGTAACTATAAAAGTGATGGTAAGTTATTATTTATTTATGAAAACTTATAAGATTAAGTGAATGAACAAATATGTAAAGATGTATATTCCGATCATAAAGAATCCCCAAACCAATCTAAGATAATGAATTGGTACTTCACTCGCTTGAACTAAATAACAATCTAATGAGAATGCCATTGATTCAATAGGATTACCAACTGATGTAAAAGCTAAGGTTATTCCATTAGGTATAGATAGTTAAAAAGTAGCTATTGAACTAATAATTTATAAATAATTTGTAAACACTTTTATTAATACTGAAGTTGATGCTGATTCGAATAAGTAAAATTTACCTAAAGTTCTAAGTCTTGAATATTTAATCAAATCTTCAATCATTTTAAGAGTACTATTAACAGATAAGAATACTGATAATAATGTCCAACAAATGACAATAGCAATATTAACTAAATTTCCAGCCATATCCTCACAACTATAGCATGCATACTTATTACTTTATGAATATTATCCATTTCCTGTCAAATCATATAAATCACATTATTCACATAATGCTCCAATATGACCCAAAGCACAAGAAGAATCTCCTGCAAACCAACCTCCTAAACAATTTAAATGTAAATGATAACATTCTTCAATATAATTACTATAATAAAATGCTCTCCAATATCCTGGTCTTAATTCAATCATAGCTGGTTATATATTTTTCATTTTAATTTCATCTTTGGTATCACATTTAGAAGCATTAAATGAAACAGAATATTAATTTTATGAAATATCACATTATACACATCCACCTGATATGATATTTAAATATTCTCCTAATTAACATTTAAAAGTTCTAAGTTTTAATAATAATAAATAATTTTTTATGACTGAAGTAATTCCATATGGAAATTCTTCACTATATTATGGTATTTGAACTATTTTACATCTTATTGCTAATTAAAGATTATACTAATCTTCTTCAATTGGATTAAAATATATAATAAGATTATCAAAATTGAAATCTCCTGTATCAGTATTAAATTATTATTTATTATTAGATAAATATCGAGATGTCTCTTTTTCATCTAATTATAAATTGTTATAATCTTATACTATAGAAGTATCAATTTTAGAAGCAAAGATTTAACAAGTAGATTCACTTAAATTTGACATTTTTTCATTGATTGAATTTGTGGCTATTATTCTAAAATGCAAATTATATGGAATATATTAATTTGTACTTGAATCAAAATATTAGTATTCTGCTATAGGGATTCCTGAAGGATATAATAATACTTTTGATTATTCAATTGAACCATAATATGAATAAGGCTAAATAAGAACTTAGTCAATTATTGTGGTAGTATTTTTTAAAAGAATTTGATTATTTTAGATAATATTTTATTTTTGGGAAAATAAAAGTTGAATTGGATATTCAAAAATATTATTAGCAAATTATTTACCTATATTGTCTTTTAATAATAAATTGAAATCCTTATGTTAATTAATATATTCATCACTTACATATATACCTCCTGCTATTTAAGCAGAATTATTTAATATTTCTGTATTAGTTAACAAAAGTTTATTTTAAGTAGAAAAAAAATAAATTGCACCTCCACTTTTTTAAGCAAGATTATTTAAGAAAATACAATTATCTATATAAATATTTAAATTAGCAAAGAAACTCCCTCCTCCATATGATGCGTTATTATTTTTAAATAAACTATTAGTTATTTTAGCAGAAATATTAAAATCTACATAATTCTCTAAAAGGTTTATATTCCTTTCTGACAAAAGTCTTGAAGATTCAGAAAAATCAAGCACACTTTCATCAAAATTATTTAAGATTGATAAACAACCTATTATTCCACAAGTATTATTTTACATAATAATTTCATTGATTTTTAAATTTACACTATTAAATTCTATTTATTAAATTGTAATTAATCCATAATAACAATTATCACAAAGATTTAATGATATATCAAAATTAAAGATATTTATTTGATGTTATTAAGTAAAATCTTTAAGTTCTACTAAAGCAAATTTATTCGAGATTTCTGAATATAACATATTTAGATTGCAATTTAATTAATATGTTAGATCATCCTATTAAAATTCAATTTCAGGTTTATAAATAATTTTATTATTATCTATTGGACATACTAATTTATTAATCTTCTCTTTTTGATTATTTTTACATGGAAGAATATCAGAATTAATGTATTGAGTTATTTATTAAATATTTATCTTTCTCATTACTAATTATCCTGGTAGATCTAAAATATTATTATATATATTTATTACTGTTTAATAATGATATTTTTATTAAAGGTGAATTGAAAACTTAACAATCTGAAACAGTCACATTTTCTATTAAAATATCTCTTCCATTTTCTATTTACATTAAATTTGCATAATGAATTTAACTAAAAATTGAATTTAATAATGTAAAATCACAATAATAAATGTGAATTGAAGGATTGTCTATTTAATATGGATAAATTTCTTATGTTGATAAATCTTCAACTAATTTTATATATTAATTAAACTCTGATTAATTATTCTAAAATCTGGAATTATTGAATATTATTTTTGATTATAATGATGATTATTAATTTGGAGAATATGTCATTATCGAGTATTTAAAAGAAAATGATGATATAAATGAAACATTATTTATTGTGATTTAATTTTCAATACGAGATGGATTGATAAATATAGCACCACCCTCTGTTCTAGAATAAGATCTAAAGATTGAACTATTCTCTAATTTAAAATCCAATCTACTATTTTGAGCATCTAAATATAATAATCCACCTAATGAAAACGAATATCCATTTAAAATTGTTTAAGTACTAAAAAATTATGAATTTATAATTTAAATTTCTCCCTAAGAGGTAGTTGCAATATAAAAGCCTCCTCCTTAAAGTGCAATTGAATTATTGATACTACTATCTAAAAACTTTAATGAATTCACAAATAAATTTCCATTTCCACCTAATGAAAGAATTTGGAAAATTTTATCAAAGGGTAATTCTAAATTGTTTTAATTTAAATCTAATAGGATATTGTTTCTTATTAAATCTATATTTAGTTTATTCTAGTTAATAAAATGACAATCTTGAAATATGAGATTTTAAGTTTTAATAAACATTACTGAATCTGAGGAATTAGTTAAAATATTAGATGTAAAATTAGTATTTGATAAAATGATTTCACCTTAAAATGTTTCAACTAATATAGTAGTAGATGAATGTAATTATACTTCATCTTCATATTTATTTAACCAATTATTTATAAAATTAACATCTTCAAATTTTATATATGTTTATTACTAAGTTTTAATAGAAATAATAGTAGAATAAACGTTTAATTTTGTAGTTATAAGGAAATTATCTTTAAAATAACTATTCTATATCATTATAATTCCTGATAAGACTTATTCTGTTAAACTTTATCCTTCAAAAAGAATTAAAGGATAATCTTTAACAATTAATTTGTTAATTAAGATTTCCATTAAATGAACTTTATGAAATTAACCAATATATAATACAAAATAGAGATCCAAATAGTTATATTGACTTATACAATTAAATGAAGAATGTAAGAATCTATCTTTATTATGTAATTAATCATATTGTTCCACATTAAAATTTTAAATTAATAAGTTAGTTGATTTCATAATTGCAATCTCAGGATTACCAACACCCCTTTTAATTTCTATATCTAAAAATTAACAAGATGAACACTCAATATAAATTAAAGCCTATTTATAGGATGTAAAATAGAAATATTAAGTACCAGAATCTAATTTATAATAATTGTTATTAGAGAATAATAAATTTTAAATTTTAAAAACAATGTTTTCAGTTTCAAATTGTCT